CAAATAAAACATTTAATAATAATAATAATATCTATTGAAATATTTAGCTTACCCCCGGACACCTGCTCCACACTCCCACGGTCCACTTCACCCCCATTTCTGGGCCCCAAGTGGTATGACTCCCATTGCAGAAGAGGAAACTGAGGCCGTGTTACTAGAGGTGAGGCAGCAGCCTCAGGGGAGGTGAAACGGCTTAAGGCCGCACAGCTGGTGACCCACACCAACGACACACACACACACACACACACACACACACACACCCCACCCCCCACCCCCACCCCCCGGTCAGAACCCCCACCAGCACCCACGCATACCTCTGGCTCACCTCCCACGGGAGGCATGGGGAGGTTCGTGTCCCGGCCGACCGCCCTGTCCGTACTCACACGCAGATCTGAATCCCGGGTGGGGGAGGGGTGGGAATCACACACAGCTGGCAGAACCCTGCCTCATGAAGGACAGGTGAGCAGAACAGGGCTCCGGATACCTTCTCAACTGGCCAAAGCAATCAGGCTTCAGAAGGGTCCAGATTGGGAAATGCTGAGGCCGGGTAAGCACGTTCATCCCAGGAAAAGGCCAAAAGCTCCGAGTGGGGCCCCCCGAGTGCCCAGGTCCGCCGAGCCGCCACATGCCCGCACGTGCCTGCAGCGGCCGGATCATCTGTGACTCTCCAGGACACGGGTGGCTTGCGCTCTCTACCCGGCAGGCCGGGCCGCTCTCAGCTCCAGAGGTGGAGCACAAACCCCACCCCCACCCCAGCCTGGTACTCGGCGCACTCCAGGGCAATCCCTCCCTGTGCTCCCTGCTCTCCACCCCTGCTCAGGAGCCAGAGCGGGAACCGAGCCCACTCGGAGGTCACTGCCGACCCCAGCCTCTTACGGGAACAGGTGCCCCGACACAGAAGTACTAGTTTGCGGAACAAACACACTATGTGCCACAAAGTCGCGCCGTGACCCCCATTCTACCAATAAGGAAACTGAGGCACAGAGACTCACAGATACCGGCAGGGCACCAATCTAGTCCATGTAGCAGGCCCTAAAAAAAATACGTCCAAGCCCTAACTCCCTTACATGAGCAAGTGGCACATCTGGGAGAAAGGGTCTTGGCAGATGTAATTAAGGGCAGATCATTCTGGGTTTAGGGTGAGCCCGGCATCCAATGACAGGTGTCCTTATAGGAAAAGACACAGAGACACAAGGGTGAGGCCACCACCCTCCTGTCACACTTCTGGCCGTGAACTGTACAAGAACACATCCCTTTGGTTTTAAGTCACCAAGTTTGTCATGGCAGGGGCGCCTGCATGGCTCAGCTGGGTAAGCGTCCGACTTCGGCTCGGGTCATGCGCGCTCTCTCTGCCTCTCCCCCACTTGTGCATGCGCTTTCTCTCTGTGTCAAAATAAATATAAACTTAAAAAAAAAAGTTTGTCACGGCAGCCCTGAGGAATTAACACAGCCCGGTTCAGCTGACCCATGTTCTCAGCCCCCACATCAATGTGACTTAAACCTAAAGAGGAAAAAAATTCTTTCGGACCCTGGAAGACTAGATCATCCCTGAGGATCTGAATCTCAGAAGCATGGACTTTCTCCTCTTTACAAATGCTTCCGTTACAAATTACCTCTACAAGGGAATGTTATCTTTGTAACGAGTAACAACAACGGTCAAGATCAAAACAAAAAGCATAAAATGTAAAAACCCTCCTTGGAGGATGGTGCTGAGCATAGGAGACACCAGGTGTGGAGTATATGAGGGCGCTCTCTGTCCTATGTCCCCAATACTTCCATAAATCAAAGACTGTTCAAAAACCAGACATATTTATTTACAAAAGAAAAACCCAACTCTCCTGGAACTGCTTTCAGGATTCGCCTCAGGACCCTAGTTTGAGAAACGCTGCTCATCTTTATTCTCTTTTTTCCCCATTTGTTAAAAAATGTTTTATTTATTTTTGAGAGAGAGACAGCATGAGCGGGGGGAGGGGCAGAGAGAGAGGGGGAGACTGAGGATCGGAAGCAGGCTCCCCACCGACAGCAGCGAACCCGATGCGGGGCCTGAACTCGCAAACCATGAGATCATGACCGGAGCCGAAGTCAGACGCTTAACCGACTGAGCCACCCAGGCGCCCCCCGGCTCATCTTTATTCGTTATCAATACCCTCCAAATGAGCGGCCGAGTCTGGATGGAGCAGAAGCGCCTGTCCTGAGCTCCGATGTCCTCCTGGGACACCTTTCTCGCCTCTCCTCTCAGCTGGTCCCAGAAAACCCAGCTCTGCCGCAGCAAAAAGAGGTGTGACACGTGGGAGGTGGGCATAAGTCTGGGCATAAGAGGTGCACGAAGACCCCCGTGTGAACCAACTGCTCTACCAGCTTTCCTGTGGATCCCCCTCTTCCCAAAGTGGCAAAAAATTCGCACCGGCGGAAAGCCAGCAGAGGCCTCCCGAGTGGCTCCCAAGAGCCTCCAGCGAGAAACCCCGAGACAAAGCTGAATGAAACAGAATAGCAAAATGTGAACAAGCAAATGAGGAATCAAAGAGAACAGATAAAAAAGAGTAACAGAAAGGAAAAGGATGAAGCACAAAGACTCGGGGGCCTTGGCAAAACACTTATTCGTGATTTTCTTTTTCCACTGAAATGTCAGTTTTTGAAACTAGCTTCTGAAAACGTAACCAGCTTCTCACATCCCCAAAAAGAACGATCAGTGGACCGTGGCGAGGGAGGAGGCTGCGTTACCTCTCACTTCGGAGCCGGACACCAAGAAGGGGCCCTACCCTTCCACGTTTCCACCAAGAGCACATCCAGCGGCTCGCACCGCCCTGGCGTGGGCCCTCTCCCCAGGTCTCGAAGTTTCCCACACGGGGGTCCAGACCGCCAAAACGCTCCCGGTAGGTGGAACCGGGTCCTCCAGGCCGCCCCAGGCCGGGCACCACTTTCCAAGTGTCCTTAGCAGTCCAGGGAGTGCCGAGAGATGGCCAAAGGCGGCCCGCACCCCTCCCTCCTCCCCTAGAGCGGCCACACCCGCCCCCGGAGACTCCCACCTCTCCCACACCCCCGGCCCCCTTTCCTCCCACCCTGCCCCCACGCCCCCGGCACGTTGCGAATTCACCTTCCCCGCTCGGCCCCCCGCTTCCTGCCCGCCCCCTCCCAATCTCAGGGCCCTCACTCCCCCATTTCCCGCTTCCCACCGCACTCCGGGCACCTCACCTCTGGCCACCACGCACGCCCTCTTTTCTCTCTGCCCCCTGACATCGTCCCTCCACTCGCCTCGCTCGGGGGCCCCCACTCCCAGCTCCCGCGGCCCCCGGCGCCACGGACCCCACGCCAGGCCCCCCACGGCTCAGGGCCCCTCACCCTCCGGGGCCCCGGGCCCCTGGCCGCGTCCGCGTCCCTCCCGCCCCGGGTCCCCCGCCCGGCCGGCCTCGTGGGCAGCCCCCGCGCGCGGCCCAGCCCCGGGGCCCCGCACTCACGGCTGTAGAGGGCGATGCCCGCCGCGTCCGGGCCGGCGCGCACCTCGAGGCGCAGCGCCTGCTGCTCCGCGTGCCGCTGGATCTCGCCGTTCGCGTCGCCGATGGTGAGGAGGCGGGCGCCGGGGAACACGGACACGGCCGCGCAGGGCCCCGCGCCGCTCGGGACCGCCGCCCCTGCGCCGCCCGCGCCCGGCCCCGCCGCCGCCGCCGCCGCCGCCGCTGCCATCTTAGATCCGGCTCCAGGCCCCGCCGCCGCCGCCGCCGCCGCCGCCGCCGCGCCCGGGCCCAGGCCGCCGCCGCCGCTGCCGCCGCCGCTGCCGCCGCCGCCGCCGCCGCCGCCGCGCAGGCCGAGGCCGAGGCCGAGCCGGGCAGCGCCGCCTGCCGGCCACGCTCCGCCTCGCCGCCACTGCCGCCGCGGCCCGGCCCCGTGGCGCAGCGCCCCCTGCTGGGCCGCCTTGGGACACGGAGGGAGGGGGGAAGAGGGCGCCGGGGGGCGGGGCTGCCCCGCCCCGCCCCGCGCGTAAGGTCGCGGCTTTGTGAGGTGGCTCGGCGGTCCAGGAACGGCGGGGGCGGAGCGTGAGTCGGGGGGCGGTGCTTGGCCGCGTGGACACGCCCGTGACCCCCTCCCCGCGCAAACGGCCGTGCTTTGTGAGGCGGCTCCCCAGCCCGGAACGGTGGAGGGGGCGTCTGACGCCCGTCCGCTTCGACACGCCTCCGCGGCCGAGCTCCGCCCCCCGGCCCTGCCCTGCTTTGTGAGGAGGCACGCGGGGGGCCGGGCGCAGCTACGACGAGGCCCCTCCCCTATACCGGTCCTGCTCCCTCCCACTGGATGTGGCTTTGTGAGACTCTTGGGTCTCTCGGAGGGCCGGGGCGAGGGGCGGGGCCAGGCTCCGGGACACGCCCCCAGCCTGTGGCCCCACCCCAGCCCTCCAGAAGGGAGAATCGGTGTGCGGTGGGACTCAGCTTCCGCCCCCGACCTGACTCCGCGAGAAGGTCCCTTCTCCCAGCGCTCAGCTGCTCCTAATCTCTTCCCCATCGCCTCCTCCCGCTTCCCCTAGCACCCTCCTCCTCCATCCTTGGCCATCTCTTCCCCCACAAAAATTTCTTGGATCCCTCCTCTGGGCCCCTCCCTTAAGCCCCTCCCTTTCCCCCAGCGATGACTAGCGAACGAATCCAGCAGAGCAGGGTCAAGTGCCCCTCTTCACAGGGACACACACCCACACACACATCTGTCTTCCAAGTTCCCCCTTAACTGCTCTCTTCTGGAGGGTCCAAAACCGCTTATGGTGGCTTCCCACCCTCGGCAGCTCCCACAGTTCTCCGGGGCTCCTCAATGCCCCCATCATTCCACTCCCTGTACTCAGCAGTGCAAGGACTTTAGCAAAGGCCCCGCATGACACTGGCCCCTTCCTGTACCCCCGTGGGCCTCACCATATACCTTGACAGCATGCACGTGAGGGGTACTGCTCCCCTCCTCCCACTAGACATCCAGTGATTAGACCCAGAGATCCTGGGCTTGAAGGATTACACTCCATGGAGACCTTGGGAACAGCTCAACACGTGTTGTAATTAATAACTTAGGCATACCAGTAGGACAGACATACAGAACATACCCCCAGGTACCCTGTGCTCCAAAAACCCAGCTGGGCTGGTCAAGTCAGATGCGGCAGGGGGAGGAAGAAACCGGAAGGGTGTGCGGTCCAGCTGGGGGCCACAGGGACCCTAACATCTCCCTCCTGGGTGGGAGGGAGTCTCCCCGCTTTCCGTCCAGCTTCCAGGACAATGTGGGCGACCCCTCTGCCACTCCTGCCCCTCTGTTGAGGAAGGTCCCAAGGTCAAGGATTCCCGTCATCTCCTCTGTTCAGTTCCCTGAGAAAGCAGCAGCCAGAAAACCGAAAGCAGCTACAGGGACCTCGGGCACAGACACAGAGGGAGCCCCGATCCTCAGCCTCACTGGCAGGCCCGGAAGGTGCTGAATTCGGGGGGCTCGGGCGAGGAGGATGTGGAAGTGGGCCTTTTCCGGGGTCCGGAGTTGTCAGATGTCTCGCCGGAGCCCGAGCAGGCATGCAGGGTGGTTGGATCCTCTTCTGGGTTCATTTTCTTTGTCCGTGGAGGAAAAACAGAGCAGAGCGTGATTTGGGGTTTCTGGATCTCGGGTCTCCCTACATTCTGAGACTGAGACTGCCCCAGTTCCTCAGGTCCCATTTCAGCCACCCCCCCCCCCCCCCAGAGCTTTAGGGCCCGGACCCTGCCTTCCGCCCTCCTGGCTTCCTGTATGCTGGGTAGGGAATGGGACAGCCTGGGTTCAAACCCCAGCTGCACCCTGTCCTAAAAGTATGACTTCAGGGGAGTAATGTAACCCCTCTGTGCCACACTTTTTCCTTCTGTGCAATGGGGAGAAGGCTCATATAATCCTAGAGTTGCTGCAAAACAGAAAGGGATAAAATAGCTAGAGTGCCTGGCACGTGGCAAGCACCAGCTGTTAAGTGAACAAAGCTGTTAATGTCATCCCTTCCCCTCCTGCTCTGGGCTCCCACAAAACCTTCCTCCGAAGTCTACCCTCTCCTCCGCCTTGGAGGCTCCTACCCCAAATGCCAGTCAAGAAGAGACGAACTGGGGCTGACTCTTGGTTTAAGTGTCCGACTTTTGGTTTCAGCTCAGGACATGATATCACACCACCCACGTGCCCCTCAAAATAAGTAAACTTAAAAAAAAAAAAAACTTAAAAAAAATTTTAGGGGGCGCCTGGCTGGTTCAGTCAGTTGAGGGTCTGACTTCAGCTCAGGTCACGATCTCATGGTTTGTGGGTTTGAGCCCCATGTCAGTGTCTGCTCAGAGTCTGGAGCCTGCTTCGGATTCTGTATGTCCCTCTCTCTGTCCCTCCCTGGCTTGTGCTCTCTCTCGCTCGCTCCTTCTCTCTCAAAAATAAATAAGCATTAAAAAAATTTTCAGGGTGCCTGAGTGGCTCAGACTGGTAAGCATCTGAATCTCGATTTCAGCTCAGATCCTGATCTCACCATCCAGCCCCCAATCCAGCTGAGTGTGGAGCCTGCTTGGGATTCTCTCTCTCTCCCCCTCCCCCTGCAAGTGTCCATTAACCGATTTGTTTATACTTTAACAAGAATACAATTCTGGGGCATCTGGATGGCTCAGTCGGTTAAGCGTCCAACTTTGGCTCAGGTCATAATCTCATGGTTTGTGGGTTCAAGCTCCGCATCAGGAATTGTGCTGACAGCTAGCTCAGAGCCTGGAGTCTGCTTCAGATTCTGTCTCTATCTCTGACCCTCCCCTGCTCACGCTCTCTCTCTCTAAGAAATAAAACATTAAAAAAATCTTTAAAAGAAGAATACAATTCTGACACGTTACAACATGAAAGAACCTTGGAGGCATTGTGCTAAATGAAATCAGATGCAACAGGATGAACATTATATGATGTCATTTCTATATAAAGTGTCCAGAATATGCAAATCTACAGAGACAGAAAGTAGAATGGTAGCTGGGGAAGGGGAGGGGAAGGGGGAGGCGGGGGCTGGGGTTTGTTAAGAATGAGAAATTGGCGGACAGTGGGGGAGGAGTTTCACTTTTGCAAGGCAAAGTTCTGGAGAAGTACGGGGGGAGGGCTACACACAATGAATGTACTTAATGCCACTGAACTGGACACTTAAAAATGCTTAAAATGGTACAGGGCGCCTGAGTTGCTCAGTTGGTCAAGCTTCCGACCCCCGCTCAGGTCACCATCTCACAGTTTGTGGGTTCGAGCCCCGCATCAGCTCTCTGCTGTTAGCTCAGAGCCCGCTCTGATTCTCTGTCTCCCTCTCTCTCTGCTCCTCCCCCTTTCTCTCTCTCTCTCTCTCTCTCTCTCTCTATCTCTCAAAATAAATAAATAATATTTTTAAATGGTTAAAATGGTAAATTTTATGTTATGTATAGTTTACCATGATGAAAAAAAAAAAAGCTAGAAAATATCTCACTAGAATTTACTGTTAAGGAAAAGAAGTAAGATAGGGGCATCTGGGTGGCTCAATGAGTTAAGCATCCAACTCTTGGTTTCAGTGTAGGTCATGATCTCAGTTTGTGAGTTCAAGACCCACGTCAGGCTCTGTGGTGGAAGCACAGAGCCTACTTAGGATTCTCTCCCTCTCTCTCTGCCCCTCCCCTGCTCGCACGCTCTCAAAATAAATAAATAAACTTTAAAAAATTGGGGAAAAATATTTAAACCCCGGAAAAGAAGTAAGATAGTGTGGATAGCATGCTATCATTTGTGTTAGAAAGGGTGAGGATAAGTGCCTGGGTGGCTCAGTGGGTTGGGTCATGATCTCACGGGGTCGTGGGATTGGTTCATGGGATCTGATATCGCAGAGCCTGCTTGGGATTCTCTCCTCTCTCTGACCCTCCCCTGCTCATTCTCTCTCTCTCTCTCTGTCTCTCAAAATAAATAAACTTTTAAAAAAAGAAAGAAAGAAAAGATGGGCCACCTGGGTGACTCAGTCAGTGGCTCAGGTCACGATATCACAGTTGATGGGTTCGAGCCCTGAGTCTGGCTCTGCGCTGACAGCTCAGAGCCTGGAGCCTGCTAGGGATTGTGTGTCTCCCTCTCTCCCTCTCCCTCTCTCTCTGCCCCTTCCCTGCTTGCACTCTTTATCTCTCTCAAAGGTGAATAAACATTTTAAAAATGTTTTAAAGAGAAGAGAAAGGGTGAGGATATAGATGCTCTATTTTTACCTTTCCTTGCATGTACTCGAATAAGCTGCTACAGGTGGTTACCTGTACGTGTGGAGGAGATGAGTGGGTAGACAGCGGTTAGTGACAGAAGGATACTTTACTACATATATAAGGTTGACATATGAATGTATTTCATATTTTAAAAATATGTATTTTTAAAGTAGACTCCATGTCCAATGTGGGGGCTTGAACTCACACCCCTGTGATTAAGAGTTGCACTCTGTACCAACTGAGCCAGCGAGTTGCGCCCCCAACTTTTTTAAAGTTTATTTGTTTTGAGAGAAGGCGAGAATCTAAAACAGGCTCCACACGGCCCTCCTAGACCCCAACTCTGGGCTTGAACTCAGGAACGATGAGATCATGATCAAAATCAAGAGTCAGACGCTTAACTGACGGAGCCACCCAATCACCACCCCTACCCCACCACATTTTTTAATTAAAAAAAAAAAAAACTATAGAGTCACAAGAACGAAGACACTTTTCTTTTCTTTCCTTTTTCTTTTTTTAAGTAGGCTCCACACCCAATGTGGGGCTAGAATTCATGGCCCTGAAATCAAGAGTTGCATGCTCTACTGACTGAGCCCACCAGGCGCCCTGGGACTAAGATACTTTCTATTTATTTATTTTATTTATTTTTTAATTTTTTAATGTTTTTATTCATTTCTGAAAGAGAGAGACAGCGTGAGCAGGGGAGGGTCAGAGAGAGGGAGACACAGAATCTGAAACAGGCTCCAGGCTCTGAGCTGGCTGTCAGCACAGAGCCCGATGCGGGGCTCAAACCCACAAAACGCGAGATCATAACCTGAGCCGAGGTCCAATGCTCAACCGACTGAGCCACCCAGGGGCCCCAACTATTTATTTATTTTTAAAAACATTTTTTATGTTTTTAATGTTTATTTCTTCTTTTTTTAATGTTTTATTTATTTCTGAGAGAGGGACAGCATGAGCAGGGGAGGGGCAGAGAGAGAGGGAGACCCGAATCCGAAACAGGCTCCAGGCTCTGAGCTGTTAGCACAGAGCCCGACGCGGGGCTCGAACCCACAAACCTGAGATCATGACCTGAGCCCAAGTCTGACGCTTAGCCAACTGAGCCCCCCAGGCGTCCCTTTTATGCTTATTTCATTTCGAGAGGGGGGAGGGGCAGAACGAAGGAGACGGAGGATCTGAAGCGGGCTGTGGGGAGGACCGCGGAGATCCCGATGCGGGGCTGGAACTCGTGAACAGTCACATCATGAAATCGGATGCTCGACCCACTCCACTGAGCCCGTCAGGCGCCGCGGGACTAAGATACTTTTTACATGTTTCCCCTTGTCTTCATCTGTTTCCACTTGTTTCATTGTAAATGTCTTTCGGATAATGAGCTGCGTGTCTTCTCAAAGTTTTAGAATCTCCCTGCCTGCCGGCTGTCTCTTAAGCACCCAGGATTTGTTCCGGGGGGGGGGGGGGGTGAGGTGGCCCTTGCCTTGCCTGCCACACTCGTACACCAGCGACCGACCGCTGTGACTGGCGGCCCGTTGAAATTCCCACGCCCCTCCCTGCAGAGCTCCAGATTCACGTCTCCACCTGCCCGTGGGCACCGCTGGGAGAGGTCGCCTGTCCCTTGTCCCTCCAAACCTACAGCGCCTCAGGGCTCCCCCCGCCCCCCTCCTCCTGCTCCCTCCGCCCACCACCCAATCCAAAATCAGCGCGCGTTTCCTGTCCCCGGAATCTACTGACCCGCACCTGTTCGCTTCTTCACCTCTGCAGCCAGCACGCTGGACCAAGTCACCTATCACTTAGTCTGGACCAGTGCAGTCGCCTGTCTCTGGTCTCCCTCGGCGCCCCCACAGCCTCCGTGCCCCACCCCCGCCCGCATTCCGGCGTGTCCACACCGCCCCCCAAATCTGCCCTGCCTGCACCCGGCAGAGGGCGCCTGTGAGCACCTGTACCGGTCACCTCCCTCCTCTGCTCTGAACCCTCCATGGCTCCCACTTCACTTGGGGCAAAAAGTGAAAGTGCTCCGCGGGGCTCCCCTCGACTCCTCACTCGGCTCCACTCCAGTGATTCTGGACCGGGCCAAGAACGCGTCCCGAGCCTGGAGCAATCTTCTATAGCCACCCCCTGCTTGCCGCCTGTCTATGAGTAAGGAGTGAAACTCCCCTAAGTAAGGAGTGAGCTTCCCTCTCACTCCTACCCCACGTGGCATCGTCTGTCTCCGCCCAGAGAAATTAGGAAGCGCTGAAGAATTCGAGGCCTTGGGGCGCCTGGGTGGCTCAGTCGGTTAAGCATCCGACTTCAGCTCGGGTCATGATCTCATGGTTTGTGGGTTCGAGCCCCACATCGGGCTCTGTGCTGAGAGCTCAGAGCCTGGAGCCTGTTTTGGATTCTGTGTCTCCCTCTCTCTCTGCCCCTTCCCCACTCATTCTCTGTCTCTCAAAACTGAATAAATGTTAAAAATAAAAATAAATAAATAAATAAACAAACAAATAAATAAATAAATAAATAAAATAAAAGAATTCGAGGCCTTGCCTTGTTCTTGTCCCAGAGCTCCAGCCCCGGGGGACCCTGCCCTTTGTCCCACAAGGCTGCCTGCAGTCCCCTGGGATTTGTCCGAACCAACTCTCCGCCCTGCTCAGTGATTCTGGGCTTTTCCCAGGATCCCCGAAGCTCAGGGACATCTGGTCGACCCAGCCTGGTGGCGGCCTTCGTAAGGTTAGGCCAGTCAGCAGAAGACCGGAAGCAAGACATGAAGTGACCTACCGCAGAGATGGCAAACAGGGAGTTGTCAAAGGTCATATCTAAAATACAAAGAGAAAGGAAAACCAGGGGTCAGTTTAAAATCCCTGCTCACCGCCGTCCGGGGGCCCTCCCCCTAAAAACACAGGCGTCACGGCAACCGAGTCGAAGGGCTTGGGATCCCTGACCCAGCATGCTTTGGTCCCTTCCAGAACATTCCACGTGGTGAACCGTTCCCAGCTGCAAATTGAAAGGTGTCCCCTCTCTGAGGGGCCCCTCTCTGCGTTCTAATAAATGGGTTTCTCCTCTCGACTCCCACTTTACAGAGCACCTCTCAGCTCCTCCACCGCCCCCGGGGCTCCTCCAATCGCCTACTCTTCACCCAGCTACTCCAACCCTGCAGGTCTTTGCTGAAACCTCATCTCCCCACCCCGGGGACCACCCTCCTCAGCCCAGACAGGGTCCCACTTTCCATCGACTGTTTTCGCACTGGAGTAGGGGCTTGTGACCACCTGTCTTGGTCCTTGAGGGACGCCCCCCCAAACGTTAGCACGTAGCAGAGGTTCAATAAACGTGTGGCCAGTGAAAGAACTAGAGGATGGGATTTCTCCCCTGGGGCCCCTTCCGGAGCCTCGCAGAGCACAAACTGGCTGCCTCTCGCCCCCTGGTGGAAGCCTCCGGAATGACACGTTCTGGATCGCAAGGGGCGGGGAGAGGGGGGCTCCATTTAAGGACCGTGAAAGCCAGGCATTGTGAAAGCACCCAGGATGCCCCGGGGGACGGACTGCGTCTGTCCCGCGTGGAACTGAGCGTCCGGCGTGGTGGGGGGGTGGGGCGGGCGGGGGCCGAGCATTACGTACGCAGCACGCAGTGGTTTCCTGTGTTTCTCCTGAGGGGTAAGAAGAATCACAGGGTGCTGGAGGCAGTATAAGTAGAAAGCACAGACCCTGTCTAGGGAGTCAGGGAAGGCTTCCCAGAGAAGGTGGCCTTTAGACTGAGACCGGAGGGAGGAAGTGTGTTGTAGGCAGAGGTCAGGATGACCGCAGCGGGAGGATGAGGCAAAGAGAGAATGCGAGAGTTGGAACCTGGGGGGGGTGGGGGGGGGCAGGAGAGGGTGGAGAGGATGTGTTCTTGACTAAGGGAAGTGAGCAGCCGCAGTAGAGGTTCAGGAGCAAGTAATGAGGCCCGACAGAGTTTTGAAGGGATGACCCTGACCCAGCAGGAGATCAGAGTAAAAAGGCACAGACCTGTGGTGGCGAAGTTGATCTGGGCCCAGCAGGATTCTCGCTCTCTGCAAAGGGATACGGGAGGGGAGGGAGTGAGGCTTGTCCCGGGAAGCCCTGGGCTCCAAACTTGGCTTTCACTCCACACCTTCCTCTGCATCCTCCCAAAGTCCCTCAGATGGAAATTCTCTTAAAGGCGCCCCACCTCCAGGTGAGGTCGGGATTTGATCCCTAGGGCTGCTGCTAACTCTCTGCCACTAGGTAGCCGGGGGCTCACCCCTCTCTGAGAGAGGAGAAACTGAGGCTGGCATCAGTTGGGACATCCTAGTGCCCAGGAACCAGGGCCGCTGCCTCCAGGCTGCAAGTTGGGCACAGCAGAGCCCCTCGGGATGCCACTCCCCTCCCCCAGCACTGGCTAAGGGATGTGAGGAAGACTCAGCCACTTGCTCCCTGCGTGACTCAGCACTGAGCCTCAGTCTCCTTGTCTATAAAATGGGGCTATTTAGGGGCACCTGGCTGGCTCAGTCATTTGAGCAACCAACTCAGCTCCAGTGGTAATCTCGTGGTTCATGAGTTCGGGCCCCATGTCGGCTGTGAGCTGACAGCGTGGAGCCTGCTTGGGATTCTCTCTCCCTCCCTTTCTGCCCCTCCCTCTCTCCTTCTCTCAGAACAAATAAACTTTAAAATAAAACAAAACACAGCTATTTATAGAGCCAGTTTCCAAGGGGCGCCTGGGCGGCTCAGTCGGTTAAGCACCTCACTCTTGGTTTCGGTTCAGGTCATGATCTCACATGGGTTCAAGCCTCGGGTAGGGCTGCGTGCTGACAGTGCAGAGCCTGCTTGGGATTCTCTCTCTCCCTCTCTTTCTGCCCCTCCCCCGCTAACGTGCTTGCACGTGCTCTGTCGCTCTCAAAATTAATAAATAATCTTAAAAAAAAAAAAAAAAAGCCAGCTTCCTCTGCAGTTGTGAGCTATCGTGGGCTCTAGCTGCAGAGTGTCCTAGCCAGTGCCCGGCACCTCGGCTAGAAGTGGCGCCTGATCCTGCGAAGCCACCCTCCCACCAGAGGGCGCTGTGTGGACCGGAGTGCCCGCCCAGCCAAGGAAGTCCCCATCTGTCCCCAGAACCCAGCCATGTCTCCGAGTCCTTAAGACCCAACGGGAATTTCTGCACCATATCCCCCAACCCTTTGGTATTTATTCCCCCCAAACCACCCTCTGAGGGCCTCCGGAGATGATGGTCTCACCTTTTCTTCTGCAATTTTTTTACTTTAACTGGGAACCAAAAAAATAAACAAGCATTTATTAGATTTGGGTCATGGCTGCATCCTGCTTGTACACACACACACACACACACACACACACACACACACGAATCCCAAGGCCCCCTCAGACGTCTGTGACCCAAACCTGCCTTCTCCTCTGGCAAATTTGCCACGCAACAGGAGAGATACTGCAAACCCCCACCCCGCCCCGCCCCTCCCCTGCATGAGTAATGTGTGGGTGAAAACTTGAAACAAGCAGGTAAAATTGTTGTTGTTGTTTTAAATGTCAATCTCAGTGGTTGACTCCAGGAGCTATGGGAGGAGGAAAGGAGAGTAAGTGTTTAAAGGGGACAGAGTGTCATTTGGGCAGATGACAGAGTTCCAGAGATGGACATTGGTGATGGTCACATAGCAAAGTGAGCGTCCTTAATGCCTTAATGACCCGCACACTTATAAAGGGTTAAGATGTAAAACTTTATGTTTTCTGTATTTTATAATTTGAAAATATATATCGGGACACCTGGGTGGCTCAGTCCGTTAAGAGATCGACGCTTGATTTTGGCTCAGGTCATGATCTCACCGTTTGTGAGATTGGGCCCCGCGTCGGACTCTGCGTGCTGACCGCGCGGAGGCTGCGTGGGAGTCTCTCTCTCCCCCTTTCTCTGTCCCCTCCTCGCCACCCACTCCCATCCTTTCTCTCTTTCAAAGAAACTTTAGTGTGAGTGTGAGTGTGTGTGTGCGCGCGCGCGCACGCATGTGTGTATCACCTTCCCCTGCCCCACCACCAGCAACGCACTGCGTTCTGGAAGACTTCACGGCTCAGTCTGGAGTCAGACCTCCCGCGCCGTGTGCCCCCACGCTCTGAGAAAATGAGAACGTTCACATGTTCAGGGGCCGCACCCTGGCAGCCAGTGCGCCGCTTTCTCTGCCTGCTCTTACCTCTCCTGACCAACAGGGCAGTGGCCACCAGCCCAGCAAGAAGGAGGGCCCCAGCCAGGCTCAGGGAGAGTGCCAGGATCCAAGTAGGCACTAGAAGAACACGAGAAAGAGGGGGTGGGGGGGCAGGCCAAGGAGTTGCGAGGGTGCAGGGTGAAGTGGGACACCTGTCATTCTTCCAGATTCCCTTTGGCAAGCCAGCCGCCTCCCTCCCCCTCCCCCCCATACTGCCCTACCTTTTGACCTGCATGTAGCTGGAATGGGGATCTAGCAACCTCCTCACTGGTGAGTTAGCACATCCCCCCCATCCCCCAGCCATGGCGATGAGCTCGGGGATGCGGCCAAAGCTGAGCTAATGACAGCTAATTCTGAGACTTTGGCTAGGCTGCTGGGAAGAGAGGGTTGTTCCTCTGGCCAGCATTACAGAGCTGGTAAGATATATATATATCTCGATCTTCTAGGCACATTTTGACGCCATGAAGAGGAAGTCTTGCCTGAGAATAAGATATAGGAGAAAGCTGAGCTGAGAGGTGGCAATTGATTCCCGACTTCTTAATGAGCACCTGGATCCAGCCATGCCTGAAGTCAGCGCTGCAAACCGACTTCAGCCTGACAAGTCACCACATTCCCTTTTGTTTCGGAAGCCAGTGTGAGTCAAGTTTCCAGTGACTTGCAGCCTGAGAGTCCTCCAGGCTTCAGCCGGGTGCCAGGGGGTAAGATGACATCCGTCCCCAGCCCCGTGGTAGACCCTGAGGTCCATGCAGAGATCAGCCACAAAAACATGAAGCCCCAGCTTCAGCATCTACTTCTCTGAAAGGCATTTGGCTGCCCCTCCCCAGACAGAGGACATCTCTCTGGGGAGACAGAAGGAGACGGCCTGATCCCCATGGAACCCAGGAGCTAAGCCAGGAAGGGGAAGGAGAGACATGGACTTGGTGTTCTCACACTGTCAGGCCTTGTTCTTTCATTCATTTGGGACAGGAGGGATGTTGCCACCTCCGCACTCCGAGCCCACAGGCTCAAGGTGAGAGAAGGGGCCTTTGATAGTGGAGCTCAAAGACCCAGACTGTTCTGTAACAGCAACGCCTCTGGTGGCAACAAAGTTCTCTCTGCAGCTGGAAAGTTCTGATTGATGGTTATGCAGAGGCTCTACCTGGAGGCTCCTCCCTCCCTCCTGCTCCTTGATCCAGAGCCCACACCCAGCCCCCTGTCCTGAAAAGACCACAGAAAAACGTCAACCTTCCCAGGCTTCTGTCTCACTTAGACAACAAGCCAAAGTCCTTGATGCAGCCAAAGGCGCAGGACGATCCTCCTTGCCACCTCCCTTTTCTCTTGTCCCCTGATGTTCCTCCTCGCCTGCTATGCTTCAGCCCTACAGAGGGGCCTCTGTGTTCCTCAGTCACACCCGGCATGTTATGGCCTCAGGGCCTTTGCACAGCCTGCTCTCTCTGCCTGGGACCCTTTTGCCCCAGATACCCACATCTCGCTGGCCTGTCATTTAGGTCCTCAGAGAGGCTTTCCCTGGCCACTCTCTGTATTTAAAATGACACCCTGGGGGCACCTGGGTGGCTCTTTTGGTTGAGTGTCCATCTCTTGATTTCTACCCAGGTCAGGATCCCAGGGTTGTGGGATGGAGCCCTGCGTCAGGCTCTGCGCTGAGCATGGAGACTGCTTGGGATTCTCTCTCTCTTTCTCTCTCCCTCTGCCCCTCCCCTACTCACGCATGCACACACATGCTCTCTCTCTCAAATTAAAATACAGTAAAATAAAATGACGCCCCTTACCAGGCTGTATTTCATCCCTGCCACTTTACTGGTCTCCTGCGGGCACACTGAACAGTTACTGGACTCCTTGGTTATCGTCTGTCTGCACCCCCTCGGGATGTCAGCCGTTAGAGGGCAGGGACATTTGTTTCGCTCGCTGGTGGACACTGCAGGGCCGGGACCAGCGCCTGGTGCTCCGTACGGGCTCAACAACATTCTGTGGCCAGGAGGGGAGGGTGAAGCAGAGTGTGGAGGTGTAAACGCCTAGCTATGGGAGCCAACGAACTCCCAGCTCTGTGGCCCACTAGCCACGTGACTTGGGGGTGAGTCCCGTCATCTCTGATGCCTCAGTTTCCTCATCTGCAACATGGGGAGAGGTGCGGGCGGGACACTTCGCATGTGATGACTGAGGATTGACCAAGGAAAGGCAAGTGAGCGCTGGCAGGCTCGAGGCCTGGCTTGTCCCATGAAGCGGAGGGCACGGTATAAGCAAAGCCTCAGCGGTTGGAAAACGGAGCCCCCGGGCAGTGAGGGCCCCGTGGGGGGCAGGGGGGGTTCTTACCTGGGAAGGATGGGAAGGAGACACTCACAGGCTCGCTGAATTCCGACAGCTGCGGCTGTCTGTGTTCACCTAGCACCCCGTACCGGCAGTAGAACATGCCCCCGGGCGCCTCCCTGCCGCTCAGGTTGAAGGTGACCTCCAGCTGGTCTGGGGGGGCCTGCAGCAGCTGGACCACCTGCTTGCCGCGGTACAGCGTGAAATTGGCCCCTGGGAAGCCCCAGGGGGCGACACAGGTAATGTGGATGGGGTCTTCTTGGCTGCTGGGGAGGGGGGGCACCAGCAGGATGGACGGGGGTGGGATGGCCAAGGAGCCTGGAATGCAGGAAAGAGGGGTGCGGGGTGAGTGGTTAGAACGGAGGCCGGTCTGGCTCCGTGGCCTTGGGCAAGGGGCTGACCCCCTCTGGGCCTTGGTTTTTATTTACTGCTCGAGGCTGGTCATCCCTACTCCGCTGCTATGTTGAGGGGTTCAGGTGCTAGCACCTGGCTGGGGGGGGGGTCACTGCCGTTGAGCCATTTTATTATAACAGCAGCGGTTACCGGAGCAGTGCAATTATACCCTTGGCGCTTCAATCAACAGCACTCACTGTGTGCCTTGCCCTGTTTTAGGTGCTGGGGACAGAGCAGTGAACGGCCAGACAGCTAGACATGCCCGCCCCGGGGGGACTGACATTCTCAAGGAGGCGAGAAGCACTGTGCGCACACCAGACAGGGCAACGGGAAGGCTGCATTGGCTGGTGCAGTCGTGGAGGGCTTCCTTTAAGAGGTAACACAGGAAGAGCTTGGGGAGAGCATTCCAGGCAGAGGAGGAGCACAGGCAAATGCGGGGACAATGGAAGGGGTGTGGGGGTCTCCAGGGACCAGGGTGGCTGGAGGGGATAAGCCTGGGAAAGAACAGGAGGAAGGGAGAGCAGAGGGTTTCTCCTGTTTCCCAGGCTGCGGAGAGGAATTGGGGTTTTGGGGTATAGTTTCCTGCAGGAGGGACCGGTGTCTCCCCAGCTGCCCCCAGGCTCCTGAGCAGAGCGTCTGGCTCAAGTGAGATCTACCTCGTCCGGCCACCGGACCTTTGCTCAGCGACTCCCCCACCCCCCAGCGGATCCTCCTGGTGCCTAGCCGTGGAGGTAGCAGCCTGGAGAAACCAAGCGGGGCTGAGTCATGGGGCGTGGGCACCTCTGTCCCCAGTGGGGCAGGATTTCTGATATCCTTGATGGGGGGGGTGATGGGGGGCCCACTAAGAGAAAGCCACTGTCAGGGCTCAGACTCCTCCAGCACCTGGGGAAGGCTTCTTGTCCCCAGAGCAGGACCAGGTGGGCGAGGGTGGGCGGAGCGGGGTGGGGGTGGCGCAGGGGACATCAGGCTCACCGGCTGCAAAGAGCAGGACAGTCCAGGGCATCTCTTCTCCTGAGTTTGGCCAGGAAATCTGGCTGAGGCCAGCGCGGCCCACGGCTCGCTGCCAACTCCCCTGTGAGGCCAGAGTGGGGAAAGGAGAACCAGGGCTGATTTGAACGAATGTTTCCTCACTAGCAGGAAGTTGCACACACACAGCTGGCTACTGAAAGGGACTCTCTCCTCTCCCCACCCCTTCCACGGATGCACACCAGATCCTGGCACTGCTCTGCACCTTGGTGGCCACCGTGCTGCAGAGAGGGGAGGAGGGACAAACGGCTAAGACGGTCAGGTGTGTGGTGTGTGGTGTGTGTGGTGTGTGTGTGTGTGTGTGTGTGTGTGTGTGTGTTTCTCCTCCTGAAGAGGAAGGGCAAGGACCACGGGCTGTTTGGGAAACCCATGCCCAAAACACAAACCTCAGCCCAGCCAGTTCCAAAGTTGAAATGTATGTTTGGCAGAGGTTGGTAGAGCACAGTGGTTACTGTTGGGGCTCTGTGACCTCAGGGAAGATAAGGTCCTTCTTTGAAGCCTCAGCTCACTGCTCTGGATAATGGGGCTAAGAGTATCAGGTATTAGATCCAAAGAACTCATGAGATGAAGTGCAATGCCTAGAGGGGTGTGAGTGCTCCCAGTGTGAGGCCACAGGCTCGTCACCAGCCAGGTGAAAGGCAACCCAGGCTCCAAAATAAGGAAATGATACAGTTTACAGAACAAATTGCCTCCTGTTTACAGCCCAGAAACTTCCAAAGGTCTGTCTTACCAGTAAGTTTGCTTTGATCTCTCTTCCTGTTCAAGTCAAGCAGGTCTACGGGGAGGATTACCCCAGGGAAGGATGTAAGCATATGTTAAATTAAACAACAAAAAGGGTCATTACTGCGGACTTTTTTATTTGGATACACAAAACTTATTCCAACGTCAGGACCTTTGTACATGCTGTGTCTCCTGTCTTGGACACAATTCTATTAACCGGATAAAATTCTGGGGCGCCTGGGTGGCCTAGTCAGTTGGTGTCTCTGACTTCACCTCAGATCATGATCTTGTGGTTCATGGGTTTGGGCCCCACTTCAGACTCTGTGCTGACAGCTCAGAACCTGGAGCCTGCTTTGGATTCTGGGTCTCCCTCTCGCTCTGCCCCTCCTCCTTTCATGGTCTGTCTGTCTCAAGAATAAATAAACTTTAAAAAATTAATACACTGTCAGGGGGTGGGGTGGGAAACCCGGTAAAATTGCACTTCTGTTTCAGGTCTCAGCTTAAATATCACTTTTGAGAAATCTCTCCAGATCCCTCTGAACTTAGAAAATTTTTCTGGCTGAATTATACTACAGTGCTTTGTGATGTTCTTTTATTTAAATTGGCATTTATATTTTCTCAAAAAAATTTTTTTAATGTTTTATTTATTTCTGAGAGAGAGAGAGAGAGAGACAACATGAGCAGGGGAGGGTCAGAGAGAGAGGGAGATACAGAATCTGAAACAGGCTCCAGGCTCTGAGCTAGCCGTCAGCACAGAGCCCGATGTAGGGCTCAAGCCCATGAACCGTGAGATCATGACCTGAGCCGAAGTTGGCTGCCCAACCGACTGAGCTACCCAGGCGCCCCCAAATTGGCATTTATATTTTCAAGGAATTTGTCTATTTCAATTGGGTTGTAGAACTTATCCATATAAGACTCTTCATATTCCTGTATTATCCTTTGTGTATCTGTAGGGTCTGTAGTGATGTCCCTTCTTTCAATGGCAACATGTGGTTTCTCTTTTTTTCCTGATTAGTCTTGCTGGGGATTAATCAGTTTTATTAATCTTTTCAAAGTATTAGCTTTTGGGTTTGTTGTTTTTCTCTATTTTCTGTTTTCAATTTCATTGCTTTGTCTTTTTGTTTTTATTTACCTTGTGTTTCATTGTCTCTTTTCATAGCTTCTTAAGATGGAAGCTTAGATCATTGATTTTAAAACTTTATCTTTGTGTATAAGCATTTGAAGCTATATATTTACCTCTATATACTGCTTTAACTGCATTTCACACACTCTGACATATTGTGCTTAAGTTAGAAATATTTTCTTCTTTCACTTGTGAATTTTTTTCTATGGCCTGTATATTATTGAGAAATGTGTCAACTTCCAAACATTTGGGATTTTTTAATAGCTTACTGTTAGTGAATTTCAATTTAATTCCTTTGTGGTCAGAAAACATATTCCATATCATTTCAGTCCCTTGATATTTATTGAGACTTTATTTAATGGCCCAGCATTTCTTGATGCACATTCTATATGCACCTGAAGTGAAAGTACATTCTGCAGGGTTTTGGTATAATATTCTGGAAATATCCATTATTAGATCACGGTGGTTTACAAAACATGCTTGAATTTATTGAATTCACCCAGCTCTCTTCCTTCCTCTCTTCCTTCCATGGTGCAGGGATGGGTCTGTGGTGCCTCTTGTAGTTTCACAATGCTTATTACTCCAGTGCTTGGCACACAGTAAACCACAACTTTTTCTTTCCTTCTTTCTCTTTCTTTCTTTCTTTCTTTCTCTTTTTCTTCCTCTTTCTTTCCTTTTCTTTTCCTTTCTTTCTTTTTCTTTCCTTCTTTCTCTTTTTCTTTTCCTTTCTTTCTTTTAATGTTTATTTATTTTGGAGAGAAAAAGACAGAGTGTGATTGGGAGTGGGGCAGAGAGAGAGGGAGACACAGAATCCAAAGCAGGCTCCAGGCTCTGAGCTGTTAGCACAGAGCCTGATGTGAGGCTTGAACTCATGAACCATGAGATTATGACCTGAGCTGAAGTCAGATGCTTAACAGATTGAGTCACCCAGGAGGCCCTGAACCACTATTTCGTTGTCTGACCTGCAGCCAGAAAATATTCATTTAGTCTATTTTTGTTGCTCTATCCTGGATGTGTAGGAGACAGAGTTAAGAGAGATTCCTGCCTTATTTATTCTACCAATTGTTTAGTGAGCTCCACCAAGGGCTCAGGACTTTGCTGTCTGTGAGGGACACCATGAGGAATAAAAAAAAAGCTCCAGCCCTTAGGAGGCTCAGAGTTTGGTTAGAGAGTCAGACAAGCAGGCAATGAGAGTCCAGTTGGGGGAAGTGCTAAAATGGAGTCAATCATCAAGGGCGGCTCCTAACCTGGCTTCAGCAGGTTCAGGGAGGGCTTCTGGGAGGAGGTGTTATCTGACCCCAAAACCCTGAGAAGGAGACAAGGGAAGGACATTCTAGGTGGAGGGAATAATATGTGTTAAAGTCCTTGGATGAATGTTAAGGACTTCATCCTGGGAGTATTTAACGTGGCGCAGGAACCTATAACCTGGAATTCCGAATTCAGAAAAACAGACACACTTACCTGCATTAGTCACGGATAGCAGCTGTAAGAGGTACAGCTGAGGGGTCATGGGCAGGGTGAAGGTAAATCAGCAAAGGATGCTGACTCCCCAGGGTCAGGAAGCTGTTACCAGCTCAGGCCTAAAGTTGCCAGGGAGGAACGCAGCTGTGGAATTGGAGAGATTTGGAGCTGCAGGCTTTGGTAGAAGCACACAGACCAACAGCGTGGGAGCCAGAGGATATACACCTACGCCTTCCTCTCCTCCTCATATCTCCCCCCAGGGCCGAACCCAACTGGATGCCAGAGGGAGAGGCAGCTAAGTTGACCCGGTGTGTAGAGATCAGCGTCCTAGGGTGCAGGGCAGGGTAGGGAAGGGTGGAGAATGGCTCAGGGGTGGGGTTGGGGGGGGGGTTGCACGACGACTGTCTAGCACACACTCTCAGAATCTTTTGGTTATAATGTCGGGGGATCTGTGGTCTCCAGAGGCTAGTTTGCCAACTCCCCATGGTTGTTAAGAGCCCCAGGCTGACTACAGGTGCCAGTGCTACAAGGGAAGATGGACCCTGTATATGTGGCCTGCACAGCTGCTCTCATCTCTTCTCTGGCTACTCCCCTCCCTCTGCTCCATTTCCTTGCTGCCCCCTGAGCCCTCTGAGTGCCTTCCCACCTCAGGGCACTGTTCTCTCTGCCCACCTCCTCTCCCTTCTACTTCAAGTCTGAGATTCAATGCCACCTCCTCCGGGAAGCCTTCCCTGACTCCACCCAGGTGAAATGAGCCATCCATCTCCACCTACCCTTTACTCCTTAGTGCCTGTAGCTACCCGAAGCCACCCAAGCGCTGAGCTTGCCTGTGTGTAACCTGGCTCCTACGCTTGGATGGCAGCTTTGTGAAGACATACACAGAGTCTGTTTTATGCACAGTGTCAGACACTCAACAAATGTTTGTTGAATACCTGGGACAGGGGAGAGTTTTTGCTCAGTCGAAGGAAACGAGAATCACCCGTTCGGGCCCCGGGTGGCGGCAGAAGTTGCGGAGTGGGTAACTCCAAGGGCCCGTAAGCTTGGACAAACTGAGCAGACACAGAATCAACCGTTTATCTGAACTTTGGAAAACAGCCAAGGGTTTACGCCAACCAAGTGACCGCCGAATCAAAACGAAGAGGAAACCTGAACGTGGCAGGAAGGTGCTGTGGTGCTTTCCTCACCCTGTCCTCAGCTCCTTCCCAGCACGCTGGAGGTCGGGGGTGGGCAGGACAGTGCTGGTCTGATCTAACATGTCTGAGGGTGACCTGGGGACCGACTCAAGGCGCTCTGTCCGCTGACCTCAGAATGCATTCCTGGAAGACGGCGTAAGGGAAGGGGAAGAACCCACAGCCACCTGGGGCAAAGTGGTATAACTGGGGGCGGCATTAACCAATGGTTTTGCCAGCAAAAATGGGTTTGTTCAGGAATGGCACAGAGATGCAACTAAGGACAAGCAAGCTTCGGACGACTCAGGACAGCAGAAGTGGAGGCAGGTCTGAACGAGGAAGAGGAGCCCTTTTAATACAGGGAAGGGGGAAGTCAGGAAGGCCATTACCGATAAGCGGTCCATTGGATTAAACTGGCGGTTGGAAGTGGAGCGATGTTTCATCGGGTGAGTTGTGACCGTCTCTCGGTGGCTGGGCTGTTCCCAGGGGAAGGGAAAACCTTTCCTCGTCCTGCTGACGTAGTAAAATCAGGTAGGAAAGTTATCAATTTGCAAGGCACATCTCTTCCTGTCAGGTCTGCCATTGACAATGAGTGGCAGGCTGTGAGCGTTCACCCTTCTGTCCTCCTAATTCCATCTAAAATTTTCTTTTTCTTTTTGAAAGAGAGAGAGAGAGAGAAAGTGGGGGAGGAGCAGAGAGAGGGAGACAGAAGATCCAAAGCAGGTTCTGAGCTGTCAGTGCAGACAGAGCCCAATGCAGGGCTCGAACCCACAAACCGCGGGATCATGACCTGAGCCGAAGTCGAATGCTTAACCTGACTGAGCCACCCAGGCTCCCCTCCTGACTTCATTTTAAAGGTTTCCCTTTATTACATTTTCACAACAGACATGCCAAAAGCTAGGAGGAAACAGGGTGAGCATTTCTCCTGGTAGCTCGGGCATTCAGAAGCACCCACATGAGGGCGCCTGGGTGGCTTAGTCGGTTAAGCGTCCGACTTTCGCTTAGGTCATGATCTCGCGGTTCGTGGGTTCGAGCCCCGCGT